TAATAGTGACTCACTTTTATCTTGTAATTGTGTTGGTGATATTTAAAGAGACAAAAGTGGAATAAGATGAATAGAATCTTGATAAGACCAACTCACCTCTAGATTTCTTATACTAAGACAAAAATCAATGTCTAACCATCATATCTACAAATAGTAACAAAACTGAAATATTGTCAAGCATAATTTCATTAGTTTGACCATTTGGACCCCTCCCTACCCACCTCAAACAGTAAAAAAAAATATTATATTCCAACGGGAAATCTTACTTAATATATTCCAACAAAAATTCCAATGGATATTCTAATGGTATAGCTTCCGTTGGAATAATTCCAACTAAAATATTCTGTTGGAATGAATTTTTCATTGGAATTTTAGATGGAATTTGATGATTCCAACGGCTATTTTTCCAACGGTTTTTTACCATAGAAATTTCTGCTGGGATATGCAATTTCTGTTGGAATTTTTACTTCCACATCTGTTGGAAAATCTACCGTTGGAATCTTCAAAATCCCAACGAAAATTTCAATGGAAAAATCATTCCAACGAAATATATTTGTTAGAATTTCCGTTGGAATTCCAGTAAAATACATTTGTATTGGAACTTTCCGTTGGAATTTAATCATTTTGTTGTAGTAAAAACGAATGAATAGATTAAGTTCAAATAAAATATTCTACAATTTGTTAACTGATTTTATTTTACTTAAATCATTTATCACTCAATATCCCTCTTTTTTTTTAGGTCAAATAGCTATACCACTACCAAATACAGTTTCTTATATGGTTAACACACACATCAATTAAATATTTCGGCCACAAATTAAAGCTTGAGCCAATAAATGTATATTATATGTACATATAGCTAAGACAAAATTAGATAGCTGATGAGTCCATAACCAATCTAATCTTGTAGGGATTGCCCATAATTTGATATCCATTTCATAGGCACTTTATGAACAAATAAGAACAATGTTGTAAACAATAGCAAGATGTGTTGCAATTGAACTTGGTAAGTCTTGTGCCACATGGCTTTTATGCCCAAATCAAGAACTTTCCAATATTTGAAAGCTCCAAGTACCAATGTTTGCAGCAATTGCTAGTTTCATTATTAAAATTGGTATTTTGCAAACTTGGGTAGCTAAGAACAATGAGATTTTTTTTATTTCATTTTCATGAAAATAGAACAAAAGATCTTATCCTGTCTAGTAATATCCAGTGTTATGAAAACAGTTTGGTTTGGAATTAAATATTCATATTATTCATTAAAAAGGGTAAAATATAAATGATTTGTATAATGTTATGTCTATTTTGTGTGGTTGCATCCTAATTATCTTTTACTCAAAGTTCAAACGAATTAGTAATAGGGACCTTACATTTATTTGGACAAGTGACAAATCGACATTCATCAGTCATCACCAAATAATCATGACTATTATTTTGTCCTTTTATATGCTTAAAGACCTTCCTCACCTAATAATAGACAGTTAATTAATTATGTATATGCTTAATCTGGTAGCTGTTTTATATGTTTTATGTTATGTCAACCATCAACTCATATTATAAAAAAATATACTCTCTCTTATTTTTAATAAGTGTCGTTTTGAGAAGTTGTACAGTAATTAATAATTTCTTTTGCCAATAATAACCATCATTAATGAAAATAGAAATTGATGTTTTGAGAAAGGATGAATAGTGAGAATATAAAAAATATTATCATTTTTTTTTTCAATCGATACGTTATAATACATTTTCTAACATAAACTGATGTTCAAATATTTCATTAGAATTAAATTTTGTTGGATTCAATTTAATGATTCCAATAATAAAGTTTCAATTATTTAGTAATGAGTAATGATGTAGAAAATTTGTTGGCATATGCAATCTTTACTGGACTTTTTTTTCTTATCAGTAATTCCTACTGTTAAATAGACTACCATTTGAATTGTCAAAATTCAATTAATATTATCAGGAAAAAATTCTTTAAAAATCCATCGAAGCTATATAAATTGGAATATTTAAAGGAATATACCATTGAAATTCTATTGAATGTATTGCAGTTGGAAATTGAAGTGTATATTCTTATAAGAATTCTATCACGTCAATAATAGAACTAAAAATATTATTAACTCTTACAACTTGATATGTTTACTATAATACTAGAGGATATACTTCATCGTTCAGAGAATATTTAAGCTAAATAACCCTCTTTAAATGTGGACTTGTGCATTTATGATATTTTCCGTTTATTTAATGTTATTATTTATATATTATTGGTCTTTTTGGGGTACATTTCTCCTATTATTTAGTGACAATGAAGGATAATTTCCCAAGAACTCGAGACACATTTTTAATGGAACCACTATCTAGCTAGCTAGAACTTTCATATTAGTAACTATTCGTATTTTGATTGAATATTCAATAATTAAAGCTCATCATCTTAAATGAACCAAAAAAAATGATGTCTGTTGAAAGCCAAAGCCCAAAAGTGACAGTATTACTCTTATTTTTTTGGAAAAGATATTAATTTGTCTTACTCAATAGCTGTACAATTGATACTTTAATAAATACATTGTCTCGAGTGCATGTTAGGCACTTTAATTTCTCACTAATTGCTTTATTTATTTATTTTTTTATTTTTTTTCTCTCTCTCTTTCTAGATTTTTACCTTTGTTCCACTTATTTAACTTTTTGATTAAAAAAAATATATGACACATGAAATAATTATAAAGTAAGTGAAAGATTTAAAATAATCAAAATTCGGGAGCTAGCTAGGATTATCGGTCCTCTAATGTCGTTGAGATAATGCAAAAGTAAAGGCCTATACCTAATCAACTAAAATAAGTAGTATATTAATTTTTTTGTGGACTAACAATAAATTGTACATTATAATTAACAGTGGTAACACAATTACCAATAGAAATTACGAAAACGAAACTATTTTCGCTGGAGCACAATCGAATCAGCGGATGGATCAACAACAAATTAAAATTTTAATATATATCTAACTATCACATTATTAACAATAGTAAATGTACGAACATAAATTTAGTAAATGTTACAATATTATTATTAAATAATTAATTAATTAATGAAATAGCAAAAGTTGGTATTAAAATATAATAGTACTTGTGTCCATGCTTTAAATAATTATAAAAGCGAGACCTTTTGGATCCCACATCAACTAAAAATGGAAACCCTACCAAACATAAATATTTAAATCTCTAACATATTTTTGTGTTTTTTCCATATTTATTTTGGTGTTTATTCTCACTACAAACAAATTGTTATATTCCAAAGGAAAATCTTATGGTAATTAATAGGAGTTGTACCATGTACATCATTTATTGTACTCCATTTAGTATAGTTAAAGTTGTCATTTGATATGTAACAACTCTTTCATATATTGTCATTTTAGCATTAGTATAAATAGGACTATGTAAACCCTAATCGTCACTTTTGTACATTTTCATTTTCCTTCTCTCATCGTTCAATACAATCTTTCCTTTCCCTTTTCTCTCGTTCATTATCTGATATGGTATCTTTCGCGAGGTTTTGATCCTGAGATTCTTATGTTTTTCCGCTGCGATTCTGTTTCTCATTTCTAGATCTTGCGATTCTTTTCGTGCTGTTGTTGATCTTTGCTGTCGATTGATATGGCTACCACTACCAATCCTTTCGACGATCCGACTTCACCGTTCTACTTACACGCCGGCGACAATCCTGGTGCCCTGATTGTTGCCGAGACTTTCAATGGCGACAACTACGTCTCCTGGTCGAGAGCGATTACTATGGCGTTGAGCGTTAAAAACAAACTAGGGTTTGTTGATGGTACTGTTTCTGCCCCTAACCCTACTCAAAATCCTTCCCTGTCTCTTGCTTGGGTTAGAGCGAATAATCTGGTATTGTCTTGGCTTTTAAATTCGGTTCATAAAGACATTCGTCAATCTTTGCTTTTCTTCTCTGTTGCTCAAGATGTATGGGATGAGATTAAGTCCAGATATGCTCTATCTAGTGGTCCTCGTGTTTTTCAGCTTGAAAAATCCTTGAATACTATTGACCAGGGCAATTTATCTGTAACTCAGTACTATAACTCGTTCAAGTCTCTTTGGGATGAATATCTCACATATCGCCCGATTGTGAAGTGTGTTTGTGGTGCTTTTAATACCTGTACTTGTAAAATCTTTGAAGCAATGACCACTGCTCAACAGAATGACTCAGTGATGAAATTTTTGATTGGGTTAAATGACTCTTATTCTTCACTTCGAAGCCACTTCCTTCTTTCTACTCCTCTGCCTTCTCTTTCTACTGTGTATTCCTTACTACTTCAAGAAGAGAGCCAGAGAACTTTGTCCAACAATTCCAAAACCATTGATTCCCTTGCAATGGCAGCTAAAACCAACTTTCCTTCTCAGCCACAAAAGAACTTCAAACAGAACTTCAATAATTTCACAAAGGATAAGAAGAAGTTCAAATGTTCACATTGTGGTTATACTGGTCATTCTTCTGATAGATGTTATCAATTGATTGGGTATCCTGATAACTGGATTGGTCCTAAAGGTCCTAGAAATAATGTTTCTCATTCTGCTCATGCTGTTATATCTGAGAATGTTGGTCAAACTGACAGTGCTGTTACTGTGAATGCATCTTCCATGACTGACAGTTTATTGAGTGAATTTTTAGCCTTTAAGAAATCACAGGAGATGAAGCACACTTCTTCATCCACCCCTGTGGTTGCAACTGCTTTGGCTAATGCTACAGGTATCTCTAAACCCTTGGCTTGCATAGCATCTTTAAAACTGAACAAAACTACATGGATTCTTGACACTGGTGCCACAGATCATATGATTTGTTCAAATACTTTTTATTCTATGCCTGCCAAGTCTATATGTGCTCAAATTAATTTGCCAAATGGTCATCATACTACTGCATTACAAATAGGGCAAGTGAATTTATCAGAAACTTTAGTGCTATATGATGCTCTTTATGTGCCTTCATTTCACTTTAATCTTATATCTGTCTCTAAACTTGCTGCAACAAATAATTGCATATTGAAATTCCTGGCATCATCTTGTATTTTACAGGACCTTGCAAACCACAAAATGATTGGTTTTGCTGATCTTATTGATGGATTATATCTTCTCAAATTGTCTGCATCTCACCATAGTTTGTTAACCCCTGAGAAATATATTTGTCCATCACCTGTTTCTGATTCACTTGGCACTTGTCCCTCTGATAATACTGAAGTTGTAAACTCTTCTTTACATGTAAGTGCATCAACAACAGATACTTGTGTATGGCACAACAGACTAGGACATCTGTCCTTCTCTAAACTACATGTTTTACCTATTCAATGTGATAATGACAAATCCTCTATAGTTCCTTGTGATGTTTGCCATTTTTCTAGACAGAAAAGACTACCATTTCCTATTAGTGAGTCCAAATCTGAAAATGCATTTGATCTTATACACTGTGATATTTGGGGTCCATTTTCTGTCTCATCATACTCATCTCAAAGATATTTCTTAACTATTGTTGATGACTTTACCAGAGTAACTTGGGTTTATCCTCTAGTACATAAATCAGAAACAAAGGAAAGTTTACTACATTTTTACAATATGATCCATACTCAGTTTAACAAGAAAATCAAGTCAATCAGGACTGATAATGGCTCAGAATTTATTCTTAGTCAATTTTATTCTCAGTATGGCATTATTCATCAAAAATCTTGTGTTGAAACACCTCAACAAAATGCTAGGGTGGAAAGAAAACACCAACATATTTTACAAGTGGCTAGGGCACTCATGTTTCATGCTCATTTGCCTTTACCTTTCTGGATGGACTGCATTCTTACTGCTGTGCATATCATAAACAGAGTTCCATCAAGTATTTTGAATAACAAATCTCCTTTTGAAATGCTCTATAACAAACAACCTACATATGATCATTTAAGAGTTCCAGGTTGTCTATGTTATGCATCTACTTTGTCATCTCATAGAACCAAATTTGATCATAGAGCATCTAAGTGCATACTTCTTGGCTATCCCTTAGGTTGTAAAGGTTACAAGCTTTACAACTTGGATACCAAGAAAATATTAATATCCAGGGATGTTGTATTCTATGAAAGTATTTTCCCATTTAAAGATTTACCTGTTTCAGATGACTTTACCCCTTCAGAAATTCCTGATTTCCCCTTGTTTCCTTTACCTGAGCCAAACTGTGATATATTACCTAATCTTGTCCCACCTACACCTTCTGTTAATCCCCCTACACCTCAACATATAACCCCTGCCTCAACCAGTGCAGACATTATTCCTTATTCACCATCAATAATACCTACAGCTCAACCTTCTGGTACTCCACAACCAAGAAGATCAACCAGACAAACCAAAGCCCCTGCTTATCTAGAAGTTTATCAACATTCATTACCAAACAGACACTCTTCTAGTGCCACTACTTCTACACTTTCCAATATCCCTGGGACATCAAAATATCCTGTGTCTGCTTATCTTTCTGTTGATAACTTGTCTGCATCACATAGATGTTTTACAGCTTCTATCTCATTTGCATCTGAACCTAAAACTTATAAGCAAGCTGCCAAGGACCCATCTTGGCAGGAAGCTATGCAAAAAGAGCTAAATGCCCTTCAAAAGACCAACACTTGGACTTTAACAGAACTTCCTCCAAATAAACATTGCATTGGATGCAAATGGGTTTATAAAATTAAGTACAAGTCTGATGGGTCTATTGAAAGGTATAAAGCTAGATTAGTTGCAAAAGGCTATACCCAAGAAGAGGGTATAGACTACTTTGACACTTTCTCACCTGTTGCTAAAATAAACACAGTCAGATTTATCATTGCATTGGCATCCATTAATAACTGGTTCATTCATCAACTTGATGTCAACAATGCATTCTTGCATGGTGACTTATTTGAAGAAGTTTATATGCTTCCACCCCCAGGTTATTGTGATGCTAATGATACTAGAGTTTGCAAATTAAATAAAAGTCTTTATGGCCTTAAACAGGCTTCAAGACAATGGTTTCATAAGTTAACTTCTTGCCTTTTATCCTATGGTTTCTCTCAATCTATTGCTGATTGCTCCATGTTCTACATGTCTGCCAATGGGTCATTTACAATTTTGTTGGTTTATGTAGATGATATCATCCTAACAGGTAATGATTTGCATAGTATTGAATCCATAAAATCTCACCTTGATAAATGCTTCACTATTAAAGACTTGGGTCAGTTAAAATATATCCTTGGATTGGAATTTGCTCACTCTGAAACAGGGATTCACATGTCTCAAAGAAAATATGCCTTGGATATTTTAACTGACACTGGCATGTTAGCATGTAAACCTGCATCCACCCCTATGGACTCTACTGTTAGGTTATCCCATAATACTGAAACTGCTGATTTTGTTCCACTATCTGATCCATCTGAGTATAGGAGATTGGTAGGCAGAATGCTTTACCTTACCATTAGTAGACCAGATATTGCATTTTCTGTTCAAACTCTTAGTCAATTCATGTCATCACCATCTGAGCAACACATGGCAGCAGCACACAGGGTATTGAGGTATGTCAAAGGCACTATTGGACAAGGTATTATCTTTCACAGAAACTCCTCTTTAAATTTAAATGTTTACTCTGATAGTGATTGGGCTTCCTGTGTTGATACAAGAAGAAGTGTTACTGGCTATTGTGTGTTTCTTGGAAATTCCTTAATTTCATGGAAATCCAAGAAACAACCAACAATCAGTAGATCCTCTGCAGAAGCAGAGTACAGGGCTATGGCTACAGCCTCCTGTGAGATCCAATGGATTATAAACTTGAGCAATGAACTTGGTATATCTTTAACTTTACCTGTCTCTCTGTTTACAGATAGCAAATCAGCTTTAGCAATGGCTTGTAACCCTGTTTTCCATGAAAGAACCAAGCATATAGAGTTGGATTGCCATCTTATTAGAGAGAAGATTACACAAGGTCTTATCAAACTTCATCACATCAGTACAAAAGAGCAACTGGCAGACTGTCTCACCAAAGCACTACCAGGACCAACATTCCATCACATTATTTCCAAGATGAACATGCACAATATACATGCTCCTCTTGCGGGGGGGTAATAGGAGTTGTACCATGTACATCATTTATTGTACTCCATTTAGTATAGTTAAAGTTGTCATTTGATATGTAACAACTCTTTCATATATTGTCATTTTAGCATTAGTATAAATAGGACTATGTAAACCCTAATCGTCACTTTTGTACATTTTCATTTTCCTTCTCTCATCGTTCAATACAATCTTTCCTTTCCCTTTTCTCTCGTTCATTATCTGATAGTAATATATTTTAATGGAAATTTCAACGGATATTTTAATGGTATAGCATCAGTTGAAATGATTTCAACGGAAATTCCAACAGAAATATTCGGTTGGAATTTGTTTTTCATTAGAATTTTAGATGGAATTTGATGATTCAAACGACTATATTTCCAACGGCTTTTTACCGTTGGAATATGCAATTTCAGTTGAAATTTTTATTTCGACCCCCGTTGGAAAATCCACCGTTGGAATCGTCAAAATTCAACATAAATTCCAATAGAAAACTCATTCTAATGGAATATTTTTGTTGGAATTTCCGTTGAAATCTATTAAAAAGTTTCAACGAAAATAATAGTATTGAAATATCTATTGGAGTTGCCGTTGGAATAATTCTATTATAATATATTTTTTCGTTGAAATTTTATCATTTTCATGTAGTGTCTCTTATTATGAATTGTATTTTTCGTTAGGTATTACATTATCTTGGGTGTATTGTGATAGTCTGTGCTTCACATTAAGTTAAAAAAAAAATCTCAAAACATATATATAAAATCGCACTACAAAATAACGTACATCACGAGTCACCAATACCAAATATAGTAATATACATCTCTCTCAAATAAAATTTGTTATTATTCAGCCCCACACAACATAGGTAAACACAAATTACGCCAAAATATGATCAACAAATTTTCTAATACCCCTTATTTTATCTAAATCGAGACCATAACAAGTCCAAACCAATCGTATATTTCCTTTTATATGTAAACAAAATACATCATATGAATTAAAACCCTAACACACACACACACACACACAAAAAAAATTCATTTTTGTGGATGAATTACACTAACTTCAAACATCCAACCACATGAACACGATTTGAAACATTCATGACTTTTTTAAAGAGGAAATCTTTTCCGATCGCCATATTAAAATAAAAATAAATCTCAAAAGTAATTAATAAATTAATCAATCAATTCCTGTTAAGAAGCTCTTCAATCATCTGCAACGCAATCCTTTCTTCCTCGTCAATCCCTCCCCTCACTCCCTCCGCTGCCGCCGCCGCCTCCGGCTGCGGCACCACCACGTCGTCCGCCGGCTTCTCCATAACCGCCAGACTTTGACCATTACTATTATTGTTATTATTACTAAAGTTATTTTTGCTGAGCTGGACAGTCATGACCCAGCTGGACTCGGATCTCGACCCGGCCCGTTTCTGCCAAACGCCAATATGCGAGCTCTCGTTGTCGAGCCTGAGACAAGTGAGGGAAGGAGAAGGGGACTTGCAGCATTTGCGGAGCTTCGCGCTCAAGATGGAGGAGAGAGAAGACGATTTTGCTGACGTGGACGACAGTGACGATGACGTGGCAGTGGCGGAGGTTTCGCGATTGGGCGGCGCCGGAAAGTTCGTTTTTGCGTTGCGGCCGCTCATTAGGATGGCCGCCTCGTCGTAGGCACGAGCGGCCTCCTCGGCCGTCTCGAATGTTCCGAGCCAAACCCTTCTTTTGCTATAAGGAAATTGTACAATTGTAATAAGGTAAAAGGAAAAATTAATGGAAATGTAATGCAAAAGGTTAATATATGTGGAGTGAAATAATAAATTAGCTAGGGTTTTTCTTTCT